TTTGTAACATATATATATATATATATATATATATATTATAAGTTTATCTTATATTTGGTTAAACGCTCGGACTTTCTGAAACAAACATCAATTTTTATTTATGGCACATATACATACATACATAATGTACAAAAACGACCATTTTTTTATCTTATAAGTAGTATTATACACTTATAAATCTTAAGCAATTTATTTTAGAATTTATACTTTCAGATCGATATTGAAACGTTGGCTAGACAATACAGCAATTTTCCGCATCTTAGATTGTATTTTCAATAAATCATATATTTGGGAAAACGTTTATTTTACAAGATACATTACAGCTAGCTACTAGAGCAATTATTTATCCTATACTTTATATAGTAACCTTTGTATTACATTTATATACAGGATATTCCTATATACGACTTTCCACAGATAGTTAATATATCTATAAACTGAAAGAACCGCTTGAAAAAAAGTGACAAGGCGCATATCTTTAATACTATATTTCCAAGTTATATTTTTTCATATTCGAGTATGTACAAACATTTCGAAACATAGAAAATAACATCATACCGTCATTTAGCAGTGTTCACGCAATGCTGCTTTGCTTGAAAATATATTTTTGTTTTATACAGTCGCGATATTTCTATGTAAAGTATGGATTTATAATTGTTCATTCTTACAGTATCACAGATCGAAGAAGTGTCGCTCACGCTTCGATAACGATTCTTCTCGCTTCTATTCAATGCTGATTCTCTAATTCAGCATTGTTTGCAGAAATCCGAGGATATAGCTACCCAGATCCTCATCCTGATTGGTCCACGAAACGTAGACGCTCTTCTGATCGTCTTCGTCTCCTTCTACCTTTACCAACACGGACTCTACCGATATAGAGCCGTCCGTTAATTGGACCGTCCAGCCTGACAGTCTCTCTTTTAACGGCTGTAACAATTTTAAAGTAGTAGCGTGCGCTGGACCGGGATCCCTCACTTGCACGGTAGATGTGAATCGCACTACGTGCTTTGTGATACCAGCAGCCTTCGCAACCTGATGATAAAAGAGATCATCGATCAACATAGAGAGAGAGAGAGAGAGAGAGAGAGAAGTGAAATGAATTGCAAGTTACTGTCCGAAGAAAGTATTACCTCATCCGCGTCTACTAGGCACACACCATCCTCTCTCAACATTAGAACACTGTGAAGTAACCTCCGTCTTTTCGGGTCTGGCGGTAGAGCCGAGTATCTCTTCGCCTCGGCCTTCAGCAGCGCGAGAGAAGCGTCCACGGGTACCTTGGACGTGGTAGTGATAACGCAGGTCTCACCGTTCGCGGGATTGTAACAGTTAGTGCCGAATTCTTGCTTGATCTTCTCCTTCAAGTATTCCATCTTGGCGAATTCCCCGTGCACCAGTATGATGTTCTTCGGCTCGCAGTATTGTATCAGTTGCATTATTCCCTTCGCGTCGGCGTGAGCGGAGAACGACATGTACTCCACGGCCATCTTCACCTCCACGATCTGCCGGTTCTCGAATTCTATTCTTCGCATGCCGTTCAATACTTTGTGGCCGACGGTGCCCGCAACGCAGAAACCCGGCATGATGACCATGTTGGCCTCATTCGGCGCCCACTTCTTGAAGATTTGCAGGGAGAGACCGGCGTGCAACATCCCCGGTGTGGCGAACACTACCATCGCACCTGGATTGTCGATGTACGCTTTGTCAAACGGCTTTATATGCTTGAAATCAAACATATTTCGCTGCACGAAAGTTTTCTTGATCTTCTGATTGGTCCAGGTGATGAACATTTTATAATAATTGTTGGCTTTCTCGGTGAGGCCAAGCGCGAAGTAAACGGGTACTTTCAAGTTCAATCTCTCCCAGTACGTTTCCAGGAGTATACATAATTCCTGAGCACGACCGAGGGCGAACACGGGGATCAAAACCTTTCCACCGCGATCGATACACTCGTGTACCTGAAACAAACATATGCCAGAGACTGACCTTAAAAGAGGAGAAACCGTTACCGACAGATGCGAGTGACGTACTTTCTTGAGAAAATCTCTCTCCCTGCATCTCTTCGAGTCCCTAATCGTAGTCGCATAAGTCGATTCTGATATCAACAAGTCAGGTCTGCATTTGTCTATCCATGCGGCGCCCAAATGTCGATCTGGCGTCATGTTATAGTCTCCGGTGTACACGATAGATTGCGAGCCGACACGAACCCAAAACATAGCGGCCCCGAGCACGTGCCCCGCGTAATACGCTTTTATCTCCAGTTCCGGGTCGACCATGACCGATTGGTGAAGCGTGACTGCGATCACCTTCTTCATGCAATCCTTTATCATCTGTGACGTGAAGAAATTGCTCTCACCTTTGCGTTCCACCGCAACTTTCCTCATGTCCTCCAGCAAAATTGGCGCGATAGCTTTAGTTGGATGCGTCATATAAATTGGTCCAGTATAACCTACCTGCAAAGATACATCATTTTAAGAAACAATTAATTATTTGCAAGGTGGAACTTATGTTTATTACTTATATATTATGTTTATTATATATTACCATTTCTGTGAAATAGGGAAGAGCACCACAGTGATCAAGATGAAAATGGGAAATAATGACACAATCGATGTAATTGGTTGCTGGCCCTTCCGACACTACATATGAAAAGTCAGGGAAACGTCTCTCGTCGTTATACCCCATATGCATCCCACAATCCAGCATGATATTTTTACCACCCATTGAGACAAGAATGCAACTACGTCCAACATCTTGTCCAGCACCCAGTGGTGTAACTTTTATGTCTGGCATCTTTGTAAACCTATGCGAAACAAATATAAATATACTCTTATTTATTGAAAAACAACCATTGTACATATAAATAGATAAGAAGCTGTGGCTGGATATCACAGTTTGACTAAGTAAGCGACAGAGCTGCGAAATATACATTTTCTCTGGGATATTTGGAAGATGATCAAATCTAAATTTGTCAAATAAATTAGAGATACATCTATTTTATTTATTTTTATTTGATTTAATTGAAGATACGTATATGACATATCGATATCTTCATTTTACTCGTTTAAACACCGATATCGATCAGCTGGCTTACCAGAATCAGCAATTTGTCGTCGCTGTTTAGATTCGAATATTTGCTGCGAATAACAGAGAGAATAAATTAGATTAGACTCAATTCGACTTAATTAGAAATAGCGCTAAATGACATCGATGCACCGGCACATGATCGCACGCTCGATCGTAGAGTAGCTTCAACACTTTCCCGAATGTAAATTCCAGAACGTCCAACGAATGTTGTGACAAAAGATGCGATTTCTATCGGAAGAATTCACTCTCTCCTGCAGTTTACAGTCGCTGCCGTTTGCGGCGCGCACGTGTGCGAGGAAAAGCGCCAACAACGCTGACAGGAGCCATATTTGTTTACCGCTTTACATCTCATCGCGAGAATCATTAGCCTACTCCGGTTAACCTCAACCTGATATACTCTTAATTTAATTTGTATACATTAAAAAGATGGTGAGTATGTTTCAATAATTTTTTAATTACTGTGAGTTATACACACTGTTCTTTTCTACGTAATATACACTTAAACTGATCTCTTATATATTCCATCGACTTATTTCAGGATGTTCAAAGACACTCAGTGCATACATTGGTATTTCGTTCTTTGAAGAGAACTCACGATATGTTTCTATTGAATCAAGGAACTTTACCACCAGTGGATCCACATTTGTAAGTCTCTTATAGTCGCGATTGGATCATTTTTTAATTTTTGTACCGCTGGTGTTCTTATAATTTTCTTCCCTTAAGTTCATGCGATATCATTCATTTTCAGACAGAGAATAAAGAAGTCTATAAAAGCTAAAGACTGTTATGGTCCAGTACTAGAGCTTGTTAAGCAAAATAACATAGCGAAGATACAACAAGAAAACGATAATGCAGATCCTCCACCACCAGGAGGTAATATATACAATATTTATAACATAGGAGAATAAAATTAGATATTTATATGTAATTATAACATATATATATAACATAGGAGAATAAAATTAGATATTTATATGTAATATATACGCTTGAATGTATTTCCAGATGAATCTTTTGGAAGTAATGCTACTTCCGCAATTGTTCCTTACAATGCGACACAGGGAAGCACAGGGGTGGTTGCATTATCAGCAGGAAATGTTGGTAGTGGTAGCAGTGCTTTAACAATACCGCCAAAGAAGACGCCGTCAATGGCGAAACCAAAGTGGCACGCACCTTGGAAATTGTACAGAGTCATCAGTGGTCATCTTGGATGGGTTCGCTGTTGTGCTGTTGAACCAGGCAATGAATGGTTCGCTACTGGCTCAGCTGACAGAGTAATCAAAGTGAGTGCTTCATTTCAAAAAGAGAAACATCTTCTCACTCTCATTCTAGTTTACTTAGAAATATTCTGCAAATAAATGAGTGAGAGAAAAGGCAGTTGATAACTTTGACACGGTTTCCTTAAAATTTCAGATATGGGACTTAGCGAGTGGTAAATTGAAGGTTTCTTTAACTGGTCATATAAGCAGTGTTCGTGGACTTGCGTTTTCTCAGAGACACCCTTACTTGTTCTCCTGCGGTGAGGATCGTCAAGTAAAATGTTGGGACCTCGAGTACAATAAGGTTATTAATTAATGAATCATGTGTAAAATTAATACTAATGGCTATTGCACCGGCAGTTTTGATATTTCTCAAGTTTTTTTTTTTTTTAGGTAATAAGGCATTATCACGGTCACTTATCGGCGGTGTATTCCATGGCGTTGCATCCTTCCATAGACGTTCTGGTAACAGCGGGACGAGATTCCACTGGGAGGGTGTGGGATATGCGTACCAAGGCAAATGTTCACACGCTTGTCGGACACACCAATACAGTCGCTAGTGTGATTTGTCAATCTGTCGAGCCACAAGTAATTATTTCCACTGTGTCTATTCAATAAAAAAAAAATATATATATATATATTTCTATGTAAAATATCCTTTGCCAACGATGAAACTGCATATTAATTTGTAAAATGTGAAGAATTGCTTAATGTAGAATTCCTTTACATTCTAGATTGTTACCGGCAGCCATGACTGCACGATTCGTCTATGGGACTTGGCCGCTGGAAAATCCAGAGCCACCTTGACAAACCACAAAAAGAGCGTGAGAGCCGTAACATTCCACCCGTCATTGTTAGTACAGTTGAACGCTTGTTTCGATATATTGCTATGTTTTCATCGATTTTGCTTCTTTTTAATTTTGTCTTCATTCACATAGGTATATGTTTGCATCCGCATCACCAGACAATATTAAACAATGGAAGTGTCCGGAGGGGAAATTCATTCAAAACTTATCTGGCCACAACGCCATAGTGAACTGCTTAGCTGTAAATCCCGATGGAGTTTTGGTTTCCGGAGCCGACAATGGTACTATGCATCTTTGGGATTGGAGAACCGGGTAGTGTATATTGTCTATAAATGAATGAACGATCTCGGTGACTTGTAAACAATTTGATGTATTAATAATCGTAACGATCGTTAATTGAAGATATAATTTCCAACGGCTCCAAGCGCCCGTACAACCTGGTTCCATGGACAGCGAAGCCGGAGTTTTTAGCATCACCTTTGATATGTCAGGCACTCGTATGATTACGACGGAAGCTGACAAAACGATAAAAGTATATAAAGAAGACGACACTGCAGTAAGTCGATTTTGTTTCAATAACGTTCGTACATTTGCAGTTCGATGGTCGTGTACTGATAGTATTATTTGTGTGTGTGTGGGGGGGATTGATTTAAATTTTGAATCATTTCATTTTCCAGACCGAAGAAACACATCCTGTTAACTGGAGACCCGACATAATAAAACGAAGAAAATATTAAATGAGCACCTCGTGGTGTCACTTTTATATCCGACATTTCTGTAAATTTATGCGAAAGAATAATAACGATAATAATAATACTAATAATGTTTCATTGGACATAAAGTTATGCAGGAGGATTTAGGTATCTGATGAAGACAAAAGATCTTAATGCAAGCGTGAAAAGCAGGAAGTAAAAAGTGCATAATGCAAGACGATTGAAAATAATGCAGCAAGGAAATCTGCAAACCAAGTAAAGATAGAAGCGGAACACGCAAATTAAAATTAAGAAATTACAATAGGCAATATGCAGATAACGCGTGAATGCGTACAAGGAGGTCAATGTGAACTATCAGAGAGTATGTAATTCAATATAGCAAGAGCCAGGCCAAGTAGATGAACGAACTTCATGCGGAAGGGAATTGGGGAGGTAGGAGGACAGCGGAGGAGAATGCAACCTGGATATTTGGATGATCGACGTCGGGGAAGTGATGATAAACTTTGATGACGAGTCGCCATATTACATAATATTAAATATTACACTCACAAATTTAAAGATGTAACCATCGTACATATAAATAGAAAAGAAGTACAAGGCTGAGGCACACAAATACTTGTAACAATACGTGTAACTTAATATTATGACTAAAATGTAAAATAATGAACAAGGTTTTACTATTTTACGTTACATAGTGTACGAAATGTAAATATCAGTAAGAAACAAAATGTAAATAATGTAAATAAATGTTCTTTTAAATACTTGAGAAATAATCTAACTTTTAAAACGAACTACATGCGTTATACTTCTATAGTATGACATTTTTCGTTATCTTCGGATTATTTATTTAAAAAGAGATCAATTAGCTAATTCACTTGACTAATGATTTGCTGTCATGTTCTAGATGATTTTTGTTGCAATATGGAGAAAAAGTTTAAGCTTAGTTAGGAATAATGCTAGATGATCTTGATGCATCAACATTTGTATATTGACATCGTAATTTTATGCATTAAAAAATTCCTAAAAATACGCTTGAATTCGTCTCCCAAGACCAGAAAATCCCTTTAAGAAAAAATATTTAACTCTATATGCTAAAAAGCTGTTTTATGCACGATTGCTTTGACAAAATTGTAATGAAATAAAGGATATTCGTCGGGTCAATCGTGGTATTTTACAGCTCTTCATTCAAATCGAAGTCTTCCTCGGGAAAATCTCCGACCTTTATGTGCATTGGCTTTACAAAACCACCGTACTTTGGTGCACACTCAAAGTATCTTTTGCCATCCACACTGTTGAAAATATATACGTGTAATTTAGTCAAAAAACATATATATGTTTGTATAACATAATGGAAATATATTAAATGTGTTTGTACCTTCCGTCATTTTTGCCAAGAGGTTCATCATATTTAACACCGATCCACCAGCCTTCCTTAAATTCAGTTTTACCTAATAATAATGAAATATTTATACAGAATTGTAAAATGTACATAATTAATACAAAAGTAAGATTTATTAGTATAATAAGATTATAATTCTCTACTCACCAACATATAAGATAGTGGCTCTTCGTTTTGGTTGATTTGGAACATACACTTCACAGCGATTTCCAACTTTGCACAAACTGGCTAAGCGTTCCTCCACCTCCTCCTCACGTTTTTTCTCTTCCGCTCTCTTCTTCATATCCTCTTCATTATACTTTCCTAGCTTGTTCTTCTCCAGGAATGCTTTGACGGTATCTGCAATATTGAACACAGTAATAAATTCTTATTCATAATACTTACACAATGTAGATATAAAAATATTACCTGTCTTCTTGGCATATTCCTCCTCAGATATTTCAAACTTTTTCACACCATCTAAATCTTCTGTGGTACATGAGAAATTGTCAATGACCTACAATCGTTAGATTTCATTAATGGTTACAGCTTTCTATAATTTTGCCCAGTCAAAGGCAGTTTCAATAACACAAATTTCTCTTTATACATGTGTATTCATGTATTGTCAGTATCCGCAGACCTACATGTATTCTCATGCCGTCATCAATCGGATAAGATCCCAAAAGGTGGTGTCCTTCTTCCAATTTGCAAATAAGCTTGTCATTCTTATCATACACTTCAATCGACATCGTAGCTGGATTGCCTCCCGTGAGAAGCTCCAACTTCCCCTGTAATATGCATTGCAAAACTTTGTATCTATGTGAGCGAGGATTTTGCAAAGGAAAATTACCTTAAACTGGTCGACAGTTATTCCTTTCTGAAATCGACGTTCGACGCAACATGATTCTTGACCCGAGTTCGTGATCGACAAATTCACAAAGTCGGACGTAACCACGCAGTACGAACTCATTTTACCTAATTTGACGTGCTAAAAACCGGCTTCAGCTTAGTACGAAAACACTAAGAGTTAGGTTAGACGGAGTTTGCAAATGCGTCTGCAACAAACAATAAATATCGGTGTGAAACTGTGCAAATTTATACAGTTTGTGCACATGAAAAATATATGATTTGTAAGATAAATACAAATCTGTCGCGTATTCGAATTTTGCAGCTGCAAAACAGCTGCCTATTGATTATATTAACGTTATGGCAACGTTAATTAGGTTTAAGGTTTCCGCACAGATTATTGTTTCGACTAGAGTTGTAAACGTAATGGCTTCTGCCCCCAGTCGCACTGTAGACTCCAATATTGCAGTACCAATCTGTGACAGCGTCCATAGCAAATTAGGAAGCTCCAGAAATGTCAATATGAGAGAGCGACACTGCCGTTCAATGTTAGAATTTCGATGTCTCAGTTTTTGTCGGTAAGAGTGGATGACACAATAACAATTGATCAATAGTAGGTAATTTAACCCGTCAGTTCCCAATGCACCCTCCAAGTGGCACAATATTTTTGGCTTATTGAAATAACACTGCTAACTATAGCTCTAAGTGTTCAGTTTAGATACTAGTGACTCTAAAACAAGTTGTCAACACTGAATAAAAGCGATACATAAGCGAAAAATAACTTTCCAAACTTTATCGTTACCACTTTTCTGAAACACTCAAAACCTATAAATTTGGTTTCCTTAGGTTCCAAAACATGAGATTTCCTAAGAGGAAACAGAAATTTGTAGTTTCAATTCATTTGGGAACCGACGGGTTAAGTTTCCGGAACCAAAAAAATGCGAAACGTAAAAAGACTAATCCTGAAAAAACAAAACCTGAAGAAAACGCGAAACCTAAAAACCTTTCGTTGGTCATCTCTCGATGTCTCTTCGATCAAAACCCGTGGTATATAATGCTTGCTCCCGTGCTGTATACAATAATTAGAAACACACCAATCACGATACAGCATTTCTAGCGTGTCACTAGATATCAATAGAACCAGCATAAAAAAGCACCGTATGCTTTACATCCAGATGTAACGCCTTTGATTGGATGTTTCCCTTAGCTTGTGCAAAAAAGCCTATTTCCAGATTGGTTAGCTGGGCTGTAAAAACTAGCAAAAGATTTGGATCTATTCGGTGATCTAGTGAATAAGATCGTATCGAACCGATACGATGCGTGGAAATAGAGGCGCTGTGCATACCAGGGTCGCGGGAAACCGATCCATGACCCCCCTCTGGCTCTTCTCTCTGGTTCACTTGCGCAATAAAGGGGTTTCCGTGCCCGACGCTCGTCGCCGTGCACGGAAGCCTCGTCGTAAAAAAGAATAGGGGAAGTGCAGAGCGAGCGTTTCTCGGAGAAGCCCCGGTCATTGTCGTCGTTGTTGCTGTCGTGCTTGCGATGCTGCTGCAGTGCGTCGCCTCGAAGAAGGATAATGCGTTGACGTGGGCCGAGATAAGACATACATCATCCTCATGCACGCTATCGACGGTGCGGTGAACAGAATGGGCAAGCAAAACGGCTCGTGTTGGTGGTGCTTCAAGGCCGTCAAGTGGATACCAGTGATCTTCATCCTGACGATCGTTGCCTGGTCCTATTATGCTTATGTGGTGCAACTGTGCTATTGTGAGTACACGCGAAACAGGTGGACGGGATGGGTCTTGGCGCCTCTTCGCGTTTTCGTGTTGTAACGACTTCTATTGCGGATAAGACCCACTGTTAAGCTGGCTAATCTCGCGCCAGCTATCTCATCATTTCATATATATATATATATATATATATATATATATGTACACAGTGTCGTAAGAGTTTGTTTGCTTGGTTCTTAAAAAGTCACAAGTCCTTGATATGTTTCCTTTCTGAAGAAGTTTGACTGAAAATGGATTCTTTTGATCTTTGATTAATATAGCTTGTGATTTTTATAATGATATAGTTGTTTTCTGACACTTTGTACAATTTTTGTAGTATGCAAAGAATTTATTAGAGAAACAGTCTTATACCTCTGTCACAAATGTATAAATATATATATATATATATAGATATATGTTGTATATTTGTGGCACAGTTGCACAATAAGGCTTTTGCTCAAAGATTTTTTATTATATTTGCAATGTTATGACTGTTTCAGGCATAATAGACAATTATGTTCAAAAAGGTTTGTATCTTGTATATTATTTCAACTATATGTATTAATGTTCTATAATGTTTATTAATATCTAGCTTATTTGTTGTTTTTGTAATTGTTATTGTTAGTATCATTTATATTCTAATGCAACGTTAAGAATTCTATTTCCTAGTATGGGAAACCAGTTGACATTCGATCTTTTTATTATTTGTATGTGCTAACAGGTTTCTATCTACTTTTCTTCCATATTCTATTTCTGATGTTTTTATGGTCGTATTGGCAGACAGTATTCACAGAATTAATGCCAGTACCAGATAAGGTAATTCACGCGATTTCTACTAATCTATTATACAGCTAATTATCGTATATTCTTAAATTATTAAAGATAATGTACTCTATGGCCTATATATTTCCTCAAATTTTGCAGTTTAAAATACCTGACGTCGAAATGGAGAAATTACAGCAAGCTGAAACTGAGGAAGTACAGAGACAAATTTTGGAAAGATTTGCACAGGATCTTCCAGTTACCAACCGCACCATAAAAGGAGGTAATGTTTCATGATAGAGATATTATAATTTGCGATTTGATGAAACAAGAGAAGAGAGGGAGAGATTGGTATTAGAATTTCAATGTGTATGTTGTAACAAGGATATATTTTTTTTTCCAGCCATGCGATTTTGTGAGAAGTGTCAGTTGATAAAGCCTGATAGAGCACACCATTGCAGCGTGTGTGGCACTTGTGTCTTAAAAATGGATCACCATTGTCCATGGGTAAACAACTGTGTAGGCTTCCACAATTACAAATTCTTCATGTTGTTTCTGGCATACGCACTTCTGTACTGTATGTTCATTACCGCCACGTCCTTGCAATACTTTATACGATTTTGGAGAGTAAGTATGATTTCTTTTTCCTCTATAATCAACTTGTACAATAACAATTGTGTAACGATGTATAATACAATGTCAAAGCACAGTGTATATATCGATAATTCCACTTTAATTGTGATTGGTGTAAACCATTTTTTTTTGTAGGGTGAATTAGATGGAATGGGTAGATTTCACCTACTATTCCTTTTTTTTGTTGCGTTGATGTTTGCAGTCAGTCTTAACTCTCTTTTCTTCTACCATTGCTATCTGGTTGTGCATAATAGGTCGACACTAGGTAATTTCCCGGATATTTTTGTCTTAATGGTGTACAATGCAATCTAAAACATCTAATTAATCTGTACCATGTTCACAGAGGCCTTTAGAACCCCTATGTTCCGAACAGGAAAGGACAAAGATGGCTTTAGCCTGGGGAAATACAATAATTTTCAGGAAGTATTCGGCGACAATGCACGACTCTGGTTCCTTCCTATATTTAGTAGGTATGTGTGTGTTTCGTCCTTTTCAATACTCTATATTCACTATCCTATGTGTGTATGACAGAATTGTACGATCTATATATACAAAGTGGGAACCATTTGCACAATACACAGTGAATATTGAACTATTATATCGATATATTTGTATGCTTTTAGTATACCGCCTAGCATAATCTTTACCATAAAAAAGACCTACGCGGTTTGGCATACTTAAAAGAAATTCAAAACACGGTAATATAAGCATATTAGCACAGATCCTCGAGTAAGAGTGAGCGATTTTGATTTTTTATCAAAGTTTATTTTCAAAGTTTCAAATTTTATCAGAGTTTTTAAAGAATAAAATGACTGCATGTTTTGTATGGTATATTTTTTAATTTCTGATTAATTGATTAGTACATATATTTTTGTATTTATATATAGTTTTATATTAATTACGTGTATAGAATGTATGCTGATTATGTGTGGCAATTATTTTTATATCGATGGCCATTCTTTCGCCAGCATATTATTTTTACACGATATACTTTTATTTTGTCCTTTTCTTCTTTTTTATATAAAATTTTGGAGAAATTTTTCCATTTCGTTGAAGCAGAATATATATGTGTTTACGAATTGTTGTATTTCTTATATCTCGGTGTTATATTACAGTCAAAAAGAGACATTTACATTGAGTCGAGACAGAGACGTGGGTACATGAGTGGAGATTTATTGTTCCCCATTTTTATTCTGTGTGTCAAATATTCTCTTCGTGTTCTCTCTGATATAAACAGTTCGTTAGAAATGTGGATATAAAAACAGTTGGTGCACCATTACTTAGTACGCAACTTTTGCACATTTCGATATGTTCCTTTTTTAAGCACCATGTTTATTTATTTGCTTTAATACGACTGACGAGATAGCAGATTCAGTATTTTTCAATTGGAGTGCTTGCATTGGATGTGTTCTAGTCTGGGGAATGGTGTCGTCTACCCAGTACGATCGCAGCACCAGGGCACACCCAATACTTATGACTCCATGGGCAGTACTCAAAACAGGTCAGCATTATTAAAATTTGAATTACAGATGTAACATTAATTATCTTGATTCTTTACTATGGAACTCGTTTGTACTTTCTCAATAAAAATATAATTCAGACATGGATATATATATATATATATATATATATATATATATATATATATATATATATATATATATATATATATATATATATATATATATATATATATATATATATATATATATATATATATATATATATATATATATATATATATATATATATATATATATATATATATATATATATATATATATATATATATATATATATATATATATATATATATATATATATATATATATATATATATATATATATATATATATATATATATATATATATATATATATATATATATATATATATATATATATATATATATATATATATATATATATATATATATATATATATATATATATATATATATATATATATATATATATATATATATATATATATATATATATATATATATATATATATATATATATATATATATATATATATATATATATATATATATATATATATATATATATATATATATATATATATATATATATATATATATATATATATATATATATATATATATATATATATATATATATATATATATATATATGTCTAAAATTCGTTACTAAACTTGAAGAGAAAAATGCTTTCTTTAATTTGCTTTCGAGTATTGTCTTTTTGTTTGGCCACTTTTGATGCCTATTTGAAGCGCTCTCTTTATTATATAGTATTTATACATTTTTTAATGCGCCATTTTATATATTTATGTATTTTTATACATTTTTTTGGTCACCTCATAGAGTTCCAGAGTAATGATAAGACTTTAAATGCTTCCAGGCTGCATGCGATGCATTTGTATTTTGATATTTGTTTGGCACTGACTCTCATTTTAATAGCTATTACTATTCCTCGGTCGTTTCTTAATATGCAACTTAAGCTTCTTTATAACGTCTGCAAAATATAAAAAATAAAACCTTTACACTGCTTTTGAGAAGATATTCCTTCCGACTATAATTCTATTTTACACATTGCGTATCTTTTCGTGATCCTATGCATTATGTTGAACATGCTGATTTTTAAAGAAATTGAAACAGACTTTAAATGAGGATTATCGCAGGACAAAAGAATGACCGCTACAAGTTTCTATAGCATTCTCTAAGAATACTTCGTCTAAATTTCCTTGTAAAGGAATAATTATTATCTATTGTGGAACGTGAAAGAGTTAACCGTGAGTTAACCGTATTTCGTTTTTCAACTGGACACAGAAAAAAAATTTCATTAGTTACGACTTTTTGTTATAAAGTTGCATGTCCCACGTACGAGTATATCGCATTATAAATTTCAGTTGAATCAGTTGAAGACCAAAAATTGTATTCATTGGCATAAAATTGTTATTACAACAGAGGTATTGTGCATCTGGTTCTTACAGATAATATTTGTAGTGCATAAAATGGTGTAACTATATACAATTATCTTTTTTTTCTTCTACGATCTCTCTCTCTACTTATTGAAGTTCGAAATTTAAATGAAATGACAAAACGAAAGACATAGGTGACAAAGATATTGGTAAAATGGTTACACCATGAGGGTAGTAGACATGGGATGACATCGAGTAGAAGGTAGGGTGTGGCTTACAGCTTTGGAGACGGGGTAAACTTTCCCGAGCGGCTGTGCAATGAGGATACTCATACTCTGTTGGGCCATGGCACCCAACAGTGGGGTGACGATACCGACTTTGACTCCCCACCTCCCTACGTAAATCAGGTACTTCGTAGGTTCGATCTTTAGATCAAGAGACAATAATAATAACTATGTCCGCGTCGTTGGCACATATCGATATGCCGGTGTTAATACGGCAATTATTGTAGCTTCTTTGCAAGTTACACGTAGATCTTTGTTATCATTTAACAATCTGTACGTAGCCGTAAGATTTCTACCTCAGCTCAAATACAAGATGTCCCAGAACTCATTGAATTTAGAGATTGCGGCGAATTGTGGGACACCGTGTATATTCAGAGGACTCGACGCATGTTCTCACGCCATAATAGCGAATAAGTTCGATGTACACTTTACTGGGAGGGTTTCCCGATTATCACCGAGTGGCGTATCGTTATTTATTGACGCTACTGCGTCTTATTATCAAACAGTATTCATTAATGAACGTGGAATGAATGTACATGTACATTCCGATAGTCATTACAAATATTCGTACTTTGTTGCTGAAACAACAGCCGATTTAGGGGACGGAGTAAAGTAGAGGATAAGTGTAGATAGTACATTAGCAAGTAAAATAGCGTGTAAGCCGACACATCTGTACCGGGAGAACATGGTTCTTTCGCTGTGAAGAAATACAAGATTTTCTTTGTCATTTTATTTATATTCTTTATTCAGAACGTTTTCACTCTACGTTGTACGTACTCTGCAGTGAACGTCAAGCAAAAGTGTCGAGAGACGCACAAGTTATTCTGTATTATTATTTGCGGAAGGTATCATGGTTAGACGCGACTATTTTTACCGATACACATTGATTAAATGCGTCTTTTAGATTTTCTACGTTTCGTATGTGCACCACATGAAGTTTTGTCGTAAATATACAGATAAGCTTACAAAATTCATCACGCTACAAAATTACAGTAAGTGTGTCTTCGAATTCAGTGTTAATAAATATCAAGTATTATATCTTTTATTGAATACGCGAAGCTTTCGCTTTCATTAACAGACTAATTTCGATACTTTTACGAACCGTTTGCCGCTTACTTCCCCCTCTAATAATTCTAAATTATTAAGATAACTTGTTTGAAAATCTATATGTAAATTATTAACTTGCCACAGTTATGTTTTTCATATATTACTCTTTTCCGATATATTTGTACGTTACTTTTCCGTTTGGAAGGGAGAGAAATGTTTCACATATGTGCATCACGTACAGAATATATTCGTTTTGTACATAGATATTTTTTTTTTTGTAAGCTTGCAGTGTATGTTTCGAATTTCTTCGTGACTTGCTCATTAAAACGTGTAATATCAACATTGAATTTTTTTTACAGCGTATGTAATTACGCGCACATCGTGTATGTAGGTAAATACAGTAGCACTATATCTTTTGTTACTGTAATTCATGTTACTGAATTTCTGATTGACCACAGGTCCACCATTGATCAAATGACATTGGTAGAAGAAGCTACAATTTTGGCTCTTGGCACTGGGTAATATTATTCGTAATCTGTATGATCACATGTCACAGCTAAATCATGCATCTGCATGCATACACACACACAACATAGGAAAAATTTGGGCGCTGTCTTTTTTTTCATGCTATGTCTCGGAACTTTTGCACATATGATATCTAATGTGACTGGGTGTGAAGAATGTGCTAATTAACACAGCTTATATGATCATACTTATGACAATATTTGGAGGGGGCGTTCTTGTCTTTTTTTGTTCCTTTCCTTTTCGTCTTCTTTCTTCATGCAATATGCGCGAGACGGCTCTACGAGTAGGCTCGTACCTTGCTTTTGTTATAGCGCGCAAGATCTTCATGCCTTACACTGCTGTCAAGTTTCCCCGAGGATGCTTTTCCTCAATATAACATGTCGAAAATATTTTACAGCACTGCTGTGATAGGTCCTGGTGTTGATGCCGACCAACCACCACTGTTGACTACCGCGGAATCCGTTTGAACGGCACCGTTCGTATCACACACGCCTCTGCGAAATTGTAATTTCCCCTATGACGTAGCGAGTATAGTTCGAAATGCCGATTTGTGCTTTCGGTGCTCCTTTCCTTTCTACACTTTTTAAAGCGGGATTAATTTCTCGGCATCGCGGGGTGAGGGATTACGTGATGCTCCTGTTGCGAGGAAAATTCACTGAAATCGTTATCGCAGTAAGTGCAAATATTTTTAACGCTAGAGATTGCCCCGCGCCAAGATACTTTTAATATTGACTGTATTATATACATATATTGTAATATATACACGGATCGTTGTTAAAAGTATATTGTTATGGTTACTTGTAATTTTAATCATAGTATGTCACACACATTATAAGTGAAACCATCCTCATCAATGCGATACGTAATATCGATGTCATTATAAATTTACAAATTGCTTGAATGTGTAGATCTACGACTTGTACCATAAATGGTGAGAAGCGTCACACTGCGTGGTTTAAATCAGGAAAATACTGCATTTGCAATGACCATCTTTGTTAAGATATAGATACGTACACGTGTGTGTTGAGCAAAAGAAGAATTACAAATAAAAATTCGTCCACACAAACTTTACTGCGAGAAAGAAATTATATAGGATGATTCTACGTTGTATGACAGTAATTTTTTACGGAATTCTTAATACGTAAATTATATATATATCATAATTTTACTACATAAGTTTAATTTGATAGAAAAAATCGATTGTTTTTAAGTGGCACAATATAAAATTCTGAATAAAATACATTTATTGGGAATTTGTTAAGATATTTCGAAATTATTTATATAAAATATGCGTTAGAACGCCGAAGTATATGCGTCACTCTCTGTAAACGTATCAAGCTTAAGTTCTTACCAACAAGAGAATACGTAGTAAGAGAATCATCCTATTAATTTTTTCAAATAGATACTTAATGTAGATTATAATTTTATTCCATACAAATACAAAATCTTTAATTAAGTGCCATCGACTTTACAACTTTTATAATAATTTCAGTTATAATGCGATGTCGCTTTATCACACGTAAACATATATATTATCGGGAATAATATCTATGTTGTAATCTTTTTCTTCACATCAAATGAGATGTAATATTAACTATTAACAANACTATACTAAAAGCCAGGTGAAGTAGTAAACGTTAATTTAAACTTACAATTTATGTGGTAATGTTTATTCAGGCATGTTTATTGTTCTGTATTACGTATACGTTTCTTTTAATATACGTTTACAGAACAAGAGCTTCATCAAAAATTGTTAATTGTCATTAATTTCAAAGCTGTTGAAATTATTCGAAAATATACTGTACACGTGTTCTTATGTATACTGTATCTATTACAGTGTATAACCATAATTTGCAATCCATTTTAATCCTGCCACTGTCGTGGATTTCGGTCTGTATTCTAAACCAATGTATCCAGGGTAGCCTGCCGTTTCCAGTAATGAAAGAACATATTTGTAATCTATTTCTCCCGAAGTATCTGGCTCGTGTCTATCAGGTACTTGAGCTATCTGAATATGACCTATATAAGAATCATAATATTATAGTATCGTTCATCGTTTTTTAAGAATCATAGTATTATGAAATTTTATTAAAATAACAGCATTATCCTATTTTTTCCAATAAATTATCTAATGGAATTTATAATGAATCTTGCTTCAAAAACTGCTTATGTGAAATTAAGATCAGCATTTATGGATTGATATAGTAACATCAAGATATACTAACCCACATAAGGCAACAATTCTTGAATGCTTCTTGTAATATTGCCACAACAATGTTGTAAGTGGAAGAGATCCAGTTGTAGCTTAAAATATGGATTGTTTATCTTCTTTACCAGATCAAATCCTGTGTTGATAAAAAAGAAATAATAATGGGATTCATAGGATATAGAAAGTAATGTCAGTTGTGTCAGAATCGATGTCTCGCACCTTTTCTAAAATTATTCATGTAGTACTTTGGTACACTGTAATTATTAATTGGCTCAATCACAATAACAATGTCCTCTTGTTGACATTTTTCAATGGCATGCAACAAGTTTTGTTCGTAAGCTGCATCATTGTTTGCGGTGGGTGATTCTACTGTTCCTGACATTACATGAATCCTGTTAGGACAAGGTATATCGTCACAATTACATAACTTGAATTTGTTACTCCGAGGATTAATCCTTCATCAGGTTTGTATTTATTCCACAGTGTGTAATGTACTTACATCTTACAATCCAAAGCTTTGGCATATTGGATCGTTTTAGAAATACTATTTTTAAAATCGTCTTCTTTACCTGGGATTGCAGCATAGCCTAGTTCTCCTTTTGTAATATCACCTGTTGTCGTGTAAAAATAATATATAAGACTTTGATTCTTAAAACTAATAAAAATTTGTTTCGACTTCCAATGTTTGTATATTTATTTATATATGTATGAAAGAGCATATGTAAACGTGAAATTGTTATACTATACCTGTGAATACATTGAGCAGAACTTGATGTACACCAGCCTTATTCTTGGCTGCTACAACCTGTTCGATAGAAAAGCCAAAAGGAAATCCACTCTCGACTGCTTTAAATCCAGCCTGTTTTGCTAATTGATATCTGTCAATAATGCTGGGCACTTCCGTAAACATAAAGGATAAGTTACTGGCAAATTTCAACGCCATAATTGCGTTTCTCTGTTCAAGAACGTTCAAGCGGTCACATTAAGGAAAATTATAACGATAATTCTTATCTGTATATATGTGATAAGAGAACTACTGTGACAATTACTGTATATGCAGATAAACACTTCGAAATTGAAGCATTAATAACATATAAACACTCTTGTGTCACGGACTAAACAGTCTGGAACAAGTATTCTTCCGAAAATATTCCTGTTTATAAGTTTATGTTATAAATTTCTTACAACAAACACTTACCATATGTGTACGTAATGTTGAAAATAGGTTACCTCCGATATATGACAACTAACATACTTTGGATGAACGGCGGTTATCTCGTAGAAGAGAACATTTCTTATATCAAGCTTTCAAGTTTATCTCAGAATTATTTAAGATAACACAAATCTCATTTGATTATCGAAGCTGTACAATCAGCTGTTTGTAATTTCTTGAATGACAACACACGATAATCATCTGTCGTCGGTAACGAGTGAAAGGAAGGAATTGTAGCGATTATAGCACACATACAGAATACTCTTAAGCTAAAATAATTTTATTCCGGTTAGACTTTTTTAAACAGTTAAAAAAATTTTATTTAACATTTCGTGTTTCGCAATTTTTACTTTTACCTTTATCTCTCTAAATATATGATACAAAAATGTGTATGTTCACTGGAAAAATTTTGAGCTTAGAAATTAAATGTTTAGGAACTAACATGTTTTTTATCATAAAAATTCTTATTGAACTGTTTACTTCTCTTTTTGTATTACACGATTATAATAATCTAGATAGCATAAAACATTTCGACACCATTCTGGATGTGCCCAGGATAATTCTGAAATGTCTGGTGCTATCCGAGAAGATAACATTTGTCTGTTCTTTTTAGCTGAGCAGGCTGCGCTAGTTCAAGAAATTTAGTATGCATAAATTTCCTGAACTAACACAGCCAGTTCAGCTAAAAAGACCGTATGTGTGCATCTAGTACTACTCATTGAGCGTTTAGTGAGCTTACGCATCTGATTGGTGTATATTTTTAAAATTTTATAAATATGTTAATCAAATGCAAGAGCTCATTGGGCGCATTGTAATATTAAATGCACCTATTGACAATGATTTGATCGATAATTAACATATATTTTTGACATCTTTGGATTCCGCTGTGATATGATTAGAAATGCCGTTTCCCTTCATATTTCGCAAGAAGCGATACTGTAACTGTTACAATTTACTTAATCTCTAAAAGTGAAAAAAAAACGTTATTCCTGAGTCGAGCACTAGTATAGTATACAGGCACACACATATAAATAGAAGCCAATTATTTCTTAAAATTATTTTTTAAAATAAATATTATTGTAACATATTAAAGTTTCTTCAATACTTTCACGATCTTAGTGTAGAGGAGTGCTTTCGCGTCACGGCCCCAAAGATAATCAATATGATTGAACTTTTCATATTTTATCTTCTTGACTTGTATAATATTTGGTAATTTTCTCGCCAGTTTTAGGACGTCCTAAAAATGATTATAAATGTGCATCGATCGCAATAATTAGTTCGAATCTGTGATGTTACTGAAAACTCATAGACGTTAAACTTACAGTAGTGTGAGTTAGAAAGTCATTCTCGCTGTAAAAAATTGTCACAGGTGTCTTTACTTTACTGAGATTATACTCAGGTGGCACGGTGGAACCATATAACGTCTTGTTCAGCTTAGCACCGTGGTCGTATTTCTGGAAAGATTCTGCAAAGGACAGTGACGGTGATCACAAATTATATAGGATGCTGTACAATCATTGTCTACAATATTCTGACGTATGTTTTAAGAGTTGAATTAGAAGGAAAGATACTTAAAAAATCCGAATAGAAAATTATCGAGTTATAACATCGATTAAAGTTGGCCGATATTATAGTACAGAATGGGCTCGTTTAGGTTCGCAATATAATGCGTATGTATATACCAATTACTCAACCATTATTGATCTCCACAACTCAACCGACTCTTTGGGGACAATATATCGATTCGACATTTCACTACTTACTGGAGTTGATTAGCTGAGCAAAATGTAACACCTGCTTGGTCGAAGCACCAGCCGGAAAATGTCCGAATATCGCAGGCAGCATGGACTTATCGAGTTGATTGCTGCCAAATCCAGCGATAAGATGAAACCAACAATAACAGAAACCCCTTGTCATCGCGCGGGGAGCTGTGCGTACGAAGGAGCTTAATATACGCGTCTGCCACCATTTGTTACGCGGGAAGCAATGATTTATATTGCAAACGACTGATCCCCACTGAAACAGACACGAACGTCGTCGGAAATCGTTGAAGAGATGCGACAACAAAGATACATTACCTCTAAAAGAGGAAGGAAATACACGAGGCATTTTAGAAGCGGACTTTTTTGATTTCCTATGTACGCTATAGGCGCCAAGCTTATCATACTTTTGACCTTGTCGTTGTATTCGGGTCTCTCACTCCCCATAACGTAGAATACGGTTGTACCTTGACTGTAACCAATATAATACAATTTCTCGTGGCCAGTTTTATCCAGGATATAATCTATCAACGCCGGTATATCATAGTATCCGATCTCGTGCCAACTGTAATAAATGTTCATCATTCGCACATACGCATACACACGTAATGCGGTTGCTTTGCATTTGAGAGTTCTTTAAATGACCTGAAATTCCAAAACTCGCTGTCGTTAACCGAGTAACGTTTATGGCCTCTTGAGTAACTATTGCCACGTGCGTTTCCAAGCCAAACGTCGTACCCATTATCGCAAAGAATGTATGCTGCAACATACAAGATTATTTATATTAATATGTTACTTATGTAAGCGAGTGATAGATATTATATTCCACTGATCGTTAACTAATTAGTTACACCGTGCCACTAATCTCTGACTGTTAAAATTTGTTTAAGTCGTTAGAGAATGTTCCTACTTGGATAACTAAGAAGTAACAATAATTCAGTTTTGAAAATTCTTTCTGAGTTCTTTTGATCAAGATATTTTTTGCACAACTTTCAGACACACCATAGTTTCTTTAAGGTCATCAATTCTGGAGGAGACACAATTAAAATTAATACATTTATCGATCAGCGTGCATTTCTTTTTACGTTGTAAAAAAAAATCAATTAATTTGTTTTCTATAGCTGAATTTGCTGCACTAGTTTGAAAAATTTACACACACATACATTAAAGCTTATAAAACATACGTACAAGATTCACACGTTTTTTCAGTGTGCCTAAACGAAGAAGGAGACACTTTTTGTGAATTTGATTTTCTCGGATTTTTACGTAAAGACAATAAGTATATGAGTGAATGAAGTTCGCTCACCAAGGGCATTATGAGATCCCAGTAGCACCCAATCTGCGGAACTGGATAAGAGTCCATGAAATACGAGAACTGGTACTTTCGAGGATGCAACTATACCAGGAGCTTCTGAGACCCGATCACACGACTCGGGAGGTATGGACGAATTATGATTTTTATCATAATCAATGACAGCAGTCCAGTCGACGGTGTGAGCTTCTAATGACACGGACGGTATCCGATCATCGGGAGGAAGCACGCGATGTACGTCCAAACGATAATCATCTTCCGTCCAAATATGATGGGTTTCGGCGATATAACCGTGACTTTCGATTAGTTCGTGCTGCGAACATATTAAATAACCGTATAATATATCTGTGCATGCAAAATCGGGTAATTTTGATTAGCCAACTACACTGTAGATATTTATAATTTGTTACACGGGCATTAATTAATTTCTTAGGCGTACAAAGACAATGGCTGGTCTTAACTCGATTTATATATAGTGTGGGTCTTATCTTGATCGAATTACCATTACATATAGATGCTATAGAGAGATTTATCTTCTACTTACGTTTTCCATTTTGTTTGTTTTTTTCATCTATTTTTTATTTGTTTTAATTTATTTTTATTTATTATTAATGTTCTCATTATATAGCAGTTACAAATTCTCATTTGTAACTGTTTTTTCCTCAGTAAATGATGTTGCATTACATGGTAAAACACATCGAGCTATGACGGAAGTTTCGGTAAAAACAAGTTTACTCGATTATTTGCTCGCGAGAATTGAAACAGTGACGAAGAAGGAGTTGCTATATAAGAGTTAAATATAATTTATAAGGATGAAGATATTGATATGAAATTTATGACATACAATTCTCAAGTATTTCAAAGAGGATAATTAATCGATTTACTTTGCAGTGACTGGACATTGTTCGATTAGTTGATGAGTATCGGCTCGAATGCGGTATCCTATTTCGATTACAAAATTCCTTTGTCGTGTAAAAATAAATCTTTTGTTTGGATGTTTGTTTGAGATTAGGCGAAAGTTCGCTTTGCCTACAATTACATGCGATCGTAAGTTAAGCGTAAATTATCACGATTCCGTTTGTTAATTTTATGACGGACCTATTTCTAATTGCATTACGGTTTTGCGTTAAACGATTGAAATTTTTCCAACGTCCAATGTGAGCCGTGAATAATTATATATATATATATTTTTTAAATAACACATTGGATTAATATAAGTATATTTTTATTATCATAATTATTCTGAAGTATGTAAGAAAAAAACTGTTCTGTGACCGTTTTGTGACCGATTATGCGTAGGAGCAATCATATTATTTTAGTAGTGTTAAATTAAAAAGTATATTTGAATGTTTGATTAATTAATTAATTAACACAATTTTTTTTAAATCAAATTTAAATTAGATTGAATTTTTAAATTCAAATTTAAATTAAAGAGTCAAATGTAAATTTAAATTTCAAATGAAATTTAAATTAAACATTTTTATTCAATCTAATTTAATTAATTTGATGTAACTACTAATTCAAGTCTGAATATTTAATTTGAATTAAGGAAAAATAAATTAAAATAGTATCAAATCTATAGATTAAATTTGTAGATTTGGCGATGAGATTTTGTGTGCAGCAGTTATTTCAATCAACACATTATGTCAATGCTTAAGAATTGAACGTTCGCATACTTATCTCTGAGCTAAGTTCATTTTGGTCACTTCTTGCTGCTGAAAGCACCATTCTATCTATTGATGATTGCACGCTGAAGGAAGATAGAATGACACCTTCTATAGCACGGAAGCATCCAAAACTAAACTTAGCTCTGTAGTAAGGATGAAAGCAAAAAAGTAACAACACTAAAGCGGCGTGCGTCTTACTGTTGTCATGTCGGCTTCATCCTGGTTCATTATTTCCTTCATCTTACCAAAGATGCTAGTCCGCGTTGGTAATCACGAGCGTAGTGAAATTCGCGTGTCCCACGTTTCACAACGTACGAAGCGCGGTCTCTTTTCCTTTCTCTTTTTCACTTTTTTTTTTCCCTCCACTCAGGCGCTCAACTTTCGAGAAAGCGACGCGCGAAATTGCGCGACGGAGACGCGAGGAGTCGCTAATTCGCACGTTTCGGGAAAGAAAGTGCGCGCAAAGGGAAGCACTCGTTTTCTTCGTTTTCCGAAATTCACGGGGATCGTTTCGGGCGAGTAATCGAGCAATCGATCCAAGTTTACACTCTCGAGGTTTACACGAGCGGTGTGTGTACGTACGACAAGTTTCTTATCACGAAACTATCACGAACAGAAACGCGCGATGACTACGAACGTGAGTGTGAGTGCGACCTGGATATATACACGCCAGGAGGAAAGTTTACGACGTATTGTATTGATGAAATCATGAAGAATTTATCCCTTCCTGCCAGCTTCGAACAATCTTCTGCCGAATTTCCGGCAACAAATCACTCGTGAAGTATCGAGCTTGCGTATTATCGAATTTTTATCGACTTTCCCAATAATAATATTGATGTAAGAATACAAATTTTCCTCGAGTAACTCCGGATGCTTCGAATGTTTTGAGGCGGCCTTGGACTGCTTACAATATTGCGCATGCGCGAACTATATGTGCATAGTATTCGCAGAACAGGAGTGAACTTTACACACTATTTATGCATGGAAAAAGTTAATCATTGTTCATTGAAAAAAAAACATTCGCTCTCCCGGAGCTATATTTTGTATACGTTGCCTACTGCGGCAACGATTAGTTTAATAACGCGACTTTGCTGTGATACGGCTATTTTATGTATAAAACGGGTGTTCATATATTTACTACTAAATACTGAAAATTTATAATATACATAATATGAAGAATAGATGTTGGCAGTGAATATATTGAACATAACAGCCAACATAATTGTCTGTACACATACTCAGTGGTACAAAGGTTTGCAGGTGTTTTTTTCAATATATCTGTTTTCTACTCCTGAATTGGCTGCACTAGTTCAAGAAGACGATTGAAAATCTATAGTATACGTAACATAAACTATAGATTTCCACTACTGACAACGAATATCGAAACACAGCATTTTCTAACTAACGCAGTCAGTTCAGGAATAGGAAACGAGTCGAGCTCGTTATTTGCAATTAATAGATAATGGTATATTCTAAATTCACTTTTATCGATAAAAGTGCTTTTAAACATGGCGGAGGAACCGCTTAATCAGCTAAGTCACATTTAAGGCACTTTTATCGATAAAAGTGAGTTCAGAATACGGACAAAAGTATCGCTACAATAAAGTAATAGCACGCTGATATCTTAATTAGCTGACAATTTACCGATCACACAAAGGCCTCGTGAGAAGACTTCCAATTACCACACATTTAGAATTTGAACGTTGGCTCTCGTTGCGCAGCGCTGCCATGCTAGGGAAGCGACGCAAAAGTAACTAAAACAGTTTAGGGATATTGCGAGGAACGACAAAATTCTTACCATCTTCCGACCCAATCGATGAGTGAAATGCTCGCGAAATTTTGCAATATCCTGACACTACAGCTACAGAGGGATGTTCATCGACGATGAAATTACCCGACATGCACTCATCCCGAGATATATTTCCGTGTGAGACAGACTGCCGGCGGTCCAGTGCGCATGCCCGGCAACGCTCCTAACGGAAACCAGTTCGCGCCGTCTTCCTCTCTCTTCCACCTCCTCTCTCTCTTCCTCTACCCTTCCGTCCTCTCGCTCCGACTCGTCGCTTGTCGTCAAGCGATGCCGCCATGATTGCCCCGGCAGTGTTGTGCAAGCTCCACGGTTCTCCGGTTCGCGGATTCAAAAGCACGTCCATTTCCTGAGGCGCCGTAGGCGAATCTTCCGCGCGCATCCACCGACCATGCGATGCGCTGCAATGGCGGTGTAGTAGCGGACGTTCCGGGACGCGGAGGATCGCTTTTCCAAGGAGTAAGTAGGCCGTTCCGACGGCTCTTCGCGACTTTTCTGGCGCGTCGCGAACAGCGTCGACCGCCGGTGGCGGCATTTTACGGCCTACGCGGTTTAGGCGATAATGCGGTGTCGCGCGACAAGTTCGGCCCGCTCACTCGTCCGTGCTCTCGGTTTCTCTTCCATATTGAACGAGTCCGTCGATAACAAACACTCGGCGGGCACGCGGACGTTACCGCGTGAACGGGAAGAGGGATCGTGCGTAATCGGGGCGTATCAGGTTAGGATGGTGCGAAGTCGAGCGATCGCGAGGCGCATGTTTGCAAAATTCGCCCTTTCTTTGTTTCTCTTCTCTCCCTGACGAAGCTGTTGCAATTTTGCGGCCGGCGGGAGTCACGCGCGACGATAAAATTCGATCCAAGTCGCTGACATCGGAGCGAACTCACCCGTTGATACGCTGCTCTTTCCCGCTTCGAACGATACGTTTGTCGCACGCCTTGCTGCGTCTTCTTTGTGTCGCTATTATTAGAAATATCAATTATCGAAATTGGTGATGAGTATACGAGATAACAAGGGAATAACGCGAGCTCGTTCGCAACGCTGAAATTATGTTTATATATGTTGGGGGGGGGGGGCATATTTTCCATGTATTCAATGATCTGTTCTTTGTCGCTGTATTAGGGCACGCTTTCCGAAAAGAAACAGATATATAGCTGTGATTTCGTATAAAAAAAAAGAGGGAAATCTTATTAAAGCTAATGGTTCAGTTATAAAGAACAGACTCAAGTGTGCACTGTAATTATCAATAGATTTGAAATGTTTATTTGTTTTCTCAATTTTTTCTTTGTGTCGCAAGAAATAATGAGAAAATATCAGCGCTTGTAATTTTTTACGCAGCACATCCAAACGTCAGTTTGTAGGATATCAGAAAAGTACAGCAAGTCTTTGTTGTCTAATGATCAAAATTGTACGCCTCCATTTGGCCTTGTTTCAGATTGTGCGCTGTGTTTTGCTATCTGAATGGACAATAAGGTAGACGTTTCTGAAAGTGAAAATCTTTCAATGATTGTTGGCACACCTGGAATTTTTCACCTGCCTGACGTCCCAGAGATATCGGAGGTATTGGAATCAACTGGCCTCAGCCCCTTAACTTCTTCCTTGGATCAGACTCTCACACTGCAAGAAGACAAGGTTCTTTCGTCTGAGGTTAACATGGGCATTGAAGATACATGGTATGAACGATATTTTTTGGGCAGAATCTTAGAGTGATTTGTTGGGAATAATTGTACAATGCTGTTTCAGGACCGAAGCTAACAGTTCGACGTCAGACTACGCGATTCCTCTTCCGCCACCACCTGGGTTGAACGATTTCTCGGATGTTGGAGCCGATTCCATTGGTGACTCGGGAACTGGCATAGAACACGGTCCATTTTTGCCACCTGGCACACTTAGCAATCTCTTTGCAGAGACTGGAGATTCGCACGATGATTCGCCAATGGGTGAGTGTATGTAATGTAACACGTTTATAATATAAAAAAGAAGCAATGACGAGACTCACGTTTTAACTTTCTCAATGTGGATACTTTCAGAAGTGGTCGTCTTGCCTGCGGGTGTGTGTGGCCTTCGCAACTTGGGTAATACCTGTTTTATGGCAGCCGGACTGCAATGTTTGACTGCGACACCGCCTGTTCTTCAACATTTCTTGGACCTGCAGCACAGAGGAGAGAAATTACCACCACCTGGCTCACTGATGGCACATTTCAGTGTACTCCTTGGAAAAATGTGGTCTGGCAGATACAGCGTACTCAGACCGACGGAATTCAAGCAGACCTTAGGAGCCTATCATTCGCAATTCAAGGATTACAGGCAGGTGAGTACACGTTGGATCGATTGTTAATGTCACCGATTTATGTGACCGCATATTCGCTCGTGTATTCAACAGCACGACTGTCAAGAATTTCTGGCGCTTTTACTGGACTCCCTTCACGAGCAGATGAACACAGCAAAGTGTGCCAAGAACTGTCAAGTTCCACTATCCACAACCACTGCCAACTCTTTTAACACTATTGAAAACTCAAGCGGAAAGGCCCTTTCTCCTGTCACTGCCACGGCCAATTCCAATTGTAATCCGGACCTTTTGGAGATGTACGATTGTTTGTCGCCAGATTGTCCAAACAGTCCCAATGTGACGATGGCCGGTTCACCGAGAGGTAAGAGATTCGTTTCGTCCACACTGATATTTTAACTCTCATCGTCAATGCTTTGATTAAGATTTTGATTCGTCGATCGGAGAACTGGACAGTATCACGAATTCACCGCGGGGCTCGCCGTTGAATTGCGAGGACGACGAGGAGACCCTCGACTCGGACGAAACGGTCGAAGCGCGCTCGAACACTTTCATTCACAATAAAGTGAACGAAGAGAGCGCAAACGAGGTCGCTCCGTCGCGTTCCCTCAGATTGGACACATTAATCGAACTGTCGAAAAGTGTGCCGCAGTATGGTGATCTGTACGACATTCACAAAGAGGCTAAGACCAGTAATGCCAACTTCCTGGTGACGCAGCAGGAGCGCAATAACGAGATACATTACGATTCGCAGAAGTTTCCGAAGGACAATGTGCGCAGGATGCCGTTAGATAATTCGAATCTGATGGAAAATCATGACTTCGACAATAAGAGCGTCAGCATCAAGCGCATCAAGGAGGTGAACGTGCAGAAGGTGAACGGCAGCCTCGACCACGCGTCGAGTGGCTCCGACATCGAGTACGACAGCGGGCTGGAGAAGTGTAATGTGAAGCGAATGCGACTGGACGATCAGGAGAAGAATCACAAGCGCGACGGCAACGACGGCACCCAGTGTTCGCGGATCCCGCAGAATTACGGAAACGGCGCGATCGCCGCGCAGGACGAGATCGAGGCCGACAAGCATTGGGTGAAGCATCTGCGATCTAACCGGAGTATCATCGTCGACACTTTCCAGGGCCAGTTCAAGAGCACGGTAATGTTTAGTTTCGTCACTATTCGCGGGAGAACTGCTCGTTGGGGCGATACCGGAAATCGCTGGTACTTGCTGTAAAAGATCTCCCACATTAAATCGTAGTAGATTAATCCTTCTTGCCTTCGAAAGCAACGGAAGGCAGGTCTCATGCTACTACTACAGTTCAATTCTGCAGCAATTCGAGTTGTCGATAGAATCATTCTGTTATTCTAGGGCGCGTTCACCACGATTCGAATATGTTGCAGGTCGTGTGCTCGGTTTGCAATCACGTATCCGTTACGTATGAACCTTTCATGTATCTGTCGGTACCGCTACCTCACGCGATGGAGAGGCAGCTGAATGTCACGTATGTCCCGGTGAACGGCGAACAGCCCATTAGATGCGTCGTTTCCTTGAACAAACAGTCACGAATCGGAAAGTTGAAGGAGGAGTTGCTAAAAACGCTCGGCAAGGAGGATATCTCGGTGACGAATATCGCGCTCGCGGAGGTCCTGGAGAATCACATAGCGAAGATTCTGGTAGGTACGCCGAACATCTTTGCTCTTGTATCAATATGATGGGTTCCCGTCTTATATAATAATGTTTTTGAAGATCGGACTCAAACGGATCACGTTTGCAAATGATAAAATATATCTAACTTGCGCTTGTCGATTCCAAGATCGTTCATGAAAATTTCAAGATCCTAACATTGTTGACTTCGTTGACAAGCACTCTTAATCAGATGATTGCAAATCCATTTCGCGCGGGAGATAACGCGTTAGAAAATAATTCTGGAGAGTTAAGAAGGTGATATATCGATCAGGCTCGCTTATCGCCGATACCGCCCTCCTAGAGAAATTTTGGAATGGAAGAACATTCTCGTAACGCGCAAAATATAGTTACGAGGCTACATTTCATCGTACAGGCTCATCTCGATTTTCCTCCTTTGTTGTTTATCTTCCTTGTTATAATTTCGTCAACGGTTTTTTTTTTATCGCTATTGCTTTTTTGACTACATTATTTTCCCCTTGCACTTAGGTATCGGGAATTACTTGCTTGCTTATCGTACTAGGCGGAAACGTCACTCTGTTGGATTCTACATCAAGGTTTTAAATTTAAGGACGACAATACACTCTTGAGACACGTGAATGATACGAATCGATCGATATACGCCTTTGAACTCACGGAACCTCCCGATGCGTACACTACAGTGTCCGACGGCGGTGGGGAACGCGCGATGGAGACGGAGGCCTGCCAGAGATGTACGATCACGGGCGAAGAAGTGCCGTGTATGATCTGCCTCGAGGAGCTGGACGGCGATTTGAAGAGGCACAGCGGAAACAGCTGCAACTTCATCATGTGCGACCCGTGCATTGAGGTAAATCTGTTGTTTCGGGGGTAGCTTTCTCGTGTTACACGTTCATATTCGATTGCAATCCCAATGATGAGTACGGCAGTGTCAATCTAGCGGAAGGGGCGCACGAACGGGGCACACGTTGTCGTAATCGCCTCGGGAAGGTCTGAGATGAGGTCGTTGAACGTTCTAGACGGACGGCACTGTAACGGTGCGTGCTAGAACCAGAAATAGCTTTGCGTTCTCCAAAATGCCGGGGACGCTTTCTTCGAAAAGCAGAGGCGACTGGAAACGTAAAGGTGGAAACTCGTATGGCCCGCTATTGCAGTACAATCCGCAAGCCTGGTAGTTTTTCTTACACTGGGAACTCAATTCAGACTAATCTGGCGCTGCCGTCTACCTGAGGGTATCATTTCACTACCGCGGTCGATCGGAATTCTTCACCTTTAGATCGGAGCTTTTAGCAACTGTCATCATGTTGCCCGGCAGAATTACTTCAAGAATCAAACGGAGCCGCAGACGTGTCCGATGTGTTCGACGTACATGACAGCCTCGTCGTTCACAAAGATCGACCAGACGGGCCGGCCGAGGCCCACTGTGCGCATTCTAAACGTACCCTTGGTCCTGAGGCACGACACGACGAACGAGACGACGAACAATCGCAAAGGCACGAAGCTCTTCGGCTATCCGCATCTGATACGGCTCCCTTCGCGAGTGAACGCACGGGACTTGTACGATATCGTCAAGAAAAACGTGTCTCACGATGGACAGTACACGATCCACTTCGTCGATGGGCAGGTTGGTGCAAACTTCGGATCGAGCTACTTTGTTTTCACATAGAAGATAAATTGCTTTTGATACAGGGCCATCATTGTTCGCGGTGTATGTATACCGCGCATTGTACAGGATGTAGCGTGCCTGAAACGGGAATGGTCGCCCTGCAGAACGGCGATACGCTCGCGGTTCGTTGTACCGAGCACGTTCCTAAGATCTTGCATCCCATCGATCACATCAGTGTCAGTAAGCAACGGCCGCATCATCCACTGTCTCTTTACGATTGCCTTCAAGCGTTCAGTCAAAGGTAATTTTTCACACTTCTGAGATAAGCGCAACGTCTTAGCGTCGGATACCTTTTAGCGAAACTCTAGACGAACACAATCCATGGTTCTGTCCGAAATGTGGGCGTAACCAGTGTGCCACGAAAACCCTTACGGTACATCGATATCCCAAGTTCCTCATTGTATATCTCAAAAGGTAGGTTGCGTATCTCAAAACCGCGTCGATCAGTGACGTCGCTCAATCGACTGCTTGTAGGTTCGTGTTTTACGAATGCACGAGTATGAAACTAGACGACAAAGTCACATTCCCTCTGGTGGGTCTGAGTGTAGGACGTCACCTTTATGATCTCTACGCTTGTGTGTGTCACTTCGGAGGTGCGTAGAAACTACTGTGTGTTTCCCCGAATCTCGTTTCACGGTTGCGTGTCGTTTCAGGCGTTTCCGCGGGCCACTATACGGCGTATGCGAAGAATCCTCGTACGGACGTGTGGTATTATTACAATGACGAGATCACGAGCAGGCAGAAGCCGCAGGACGAGGATTTCAGCAATGCTTACATATTGTTTTACAGCCGACAGGGGACCAACTTGAAACCGTGCAATATATAACAAGTGATGTATTTAACTTGATAGGCGAAAGAACACGTCGATCGGAGTGTGTGACAGAGGGGGGGGGGGGCATCAGGGGAACGAATGGACCGGAGAAGAGATTGACGTTCTTCCACGTACTTTTCTGCTACGACGGTTTATTCGCGTCACTTTCATACGTTTCAAACGTATATTACCTTAATCTTATCCGTTGTTTTACACTTCCTGCATCTCCCTTATATCTGCCTCTGCTACAGCTGCTATTTTTGAGAAGTGCAACGAGATCTTGCTCTTCGGGATTACGTCAAATATACTTATCGCCTGTGTGTTTCGTTGGCGATCGTTGTGCGATTTCTTGGACGGACGTGTCTTCGCGATCTTACCTACCTACGGTGACGTCCTGGGCTAAAGCAAACTTTAGGTCTGATCTAATTCATGGATTCAGAGAGGAGCGAACGTTATTTGTACCGCATATTGTAAACGTATGTCGACTTTGTACAGTAGATGGTTAAATGTAGACTCAAGAATTCTAAACACACGTAATTTATATTAGTGAATAAAGGTGAACGTCATACTCGAAGATTTTAGCTATTATTTACCGACACCTGTCCGATCCGCTGTTTGATCGTACTATTGAAAAGAAAATTGATTAATTGAAGAACAATGTTTACCATTTAACTGGAAAACTCTTGTCAAGAACGTTTCACTGTGTTCTTGATAATTGTACGTTACAAATCGGGAATTTTTGCCGTTTCACAGGAGCTTTCGTTCCATTTCTTCGATTATTACGTGTCCGATACAATGTTAACATTGGTAATAAAAAAATAGTAACTTGGTCAAGAATCAAACCTTGCTTAGTCGAGATGCAAACCTTAGCCGAGATTCAAACCACATGTTCAACGGATTTTTACGCAATGCCCCAGTAGATGGTACAAAAAATTCGTTAACCTTTTCACTACATCGCTAGATGGCATCTGTTTTTTTTTTTCGACTGCCTGCTTTGTCGTCTGTTTATACTACGTATCATTTTTTTACCAGTTGTTAGTATTCTGGAAGTTGATTGATCAAGCATACCACGAACGATCGCTGACAAAAGTTGTGTATGTATAAATATATGGCCAACACGTTAGGCGCGTTCGTCACATGAGTCCTTATGTCTTTCGACACCGACTCGTGGCAATACTCGTGTTGAATACTCTGTAAAGTTAACTGACGACTGCTGACAAAGTAGCGTGCTTGAATAAGTCAACTTGTAGGATACTAGTGACTGCAGGACAATTGTATTTTCCACTTTCGTTATTCTCGTTTTTCTAACGTGACATACCGAACCCTCTTCTTCGTAATGCTCGTATTACCGACTATATATGATACATAGCGTATGTAAAAATAGAACTGATATTTTACACGCATTTCAAAAAAAAGATTTCAAATTCTTGAGTTATTATAAACATATCCCTGCTAGTTTTGAAAGTATCAGAGTGATTAGAACGTTTGTAGGAAAAGTAATTTTTTAATCGATCTCTCTCTCTCTCTCTCTCTAACATAGGAATGATACTATTAAATTTTTTGTTCATATTCGTGTATTTAAAACTTATAGGTGTAGCAATATATCATAAAGATTAACGTAGACTTGGATAGATCTTTAATATATCGCGTTACACGTTGTTTCCTTTTGCTACATCCGCTTATAAATAGTTGCATTAGCGGTTACTATAGATTATGACCTCGTAATGCATCCGTATTATGACGTCATAATATTGTTATATTTTGTATCATCGGTATCCTAAAGAATAAATAGAAACATTGTTGACAAGATATTTACGTTAGCAAGGAAATGTTCAATGTTTATCAACCCAAAAAGATGATACGTGACGTTTCAAACGTTTTTGACGTTATCAAATGACATTATTAAATGTTTTGTCCCTTTTTGTATTTTTTAAGAATTTATAATTTATATGCATGAAGAAACGTTTATATCATATCCGTAATAATCAAACTTATGCGTTCCGTGAATACGATATATTGTAATATGTGATTTATTGTGATAAATAATGTTCCGCGTGAGATAATTTAATATTTATTAACACGTTCGTTTCGGCTGGACCTACCGATGAGCCATGTCATTTATTGCGCATGTCAATAAAAGTAGAGTGGAATGGAAACGCGTGTGTCGAATACCATTTGTCCGTGAATAACGATTTCGTTTCCGATTATACCGGGATTATAGTTAATGCATGTATTAGGAAACTTTATCTTGCAACGGAGAAAAGATCCGTGTGTGTTAATGTCAAAATCCACAAAATTCCGACCTCAGTATAACGAAGCAACGTATGAAAAAATATCGCCACGATGATGACCAAGACTGTTCTCACAGCTCCCCTTCGTCATTTGCAACTAAATGACACTCGACAAAAATCACTTACGTTCAATCGTATTGTCGTTTCTTTTACCGGCAGGAGCAAAAATCGGCCCGGCTTAACGACAACGAGTGTAATCGGGGCGCGACTTGAACCGGTTCGCTATTTTCTAAAGATAACCCTGCGATAAATCGATTTCCCGTCTCTTATTTTTTTTTACTCCCCGTTACATTCGATTGTGTAATGGGCTCCGTATGTACGTAACCGTTTTCTGTAACTATGCATACATACACATCGCACCAGGTCGAGGGATCGCGTCCGATGCATCTGTTGCATCCCGTACGCGAGCGAACACGCGCGCATGCCCCGCACGCTCAGCGCGAGAACAAGTTCTGGGCACGGTGGTGGAGGTGGCGGAGGTGGTGGAGGCGGTGGCGGTGGCGGCGGCGGCTCTCGGAAGAGGTAGCCGTGCCGCGAAGACGCGCGCGGGGGTTGGAAAAACGACGACGGGGAAGGCTCGTTGCGAGCTACCGGTTACTACGCGGACGCATGCCCGCTGATAGCTCAGTGGAGCGCGCGACTTCGTGCCGTAAGCACACTTCCTGTGGGTGAATCTCTCTCTCTCTCTCTCTCCCTCTTTGTTCCCCGTTGCGGCGTGTGTGTAAGTGCGCGTTTCTTTCTCGCCTCGCCTCGTCTCTCTTGTCCTTTTCTCCTCTCCGGTGTCTGTCTCCACCTCGGCTCCGCTCGTCGCCGCGAAAGTGGCAGGCTCGTCGCGCGACCGAATAAAATCGGTGATAGGCGATATAGAGGAGGAGGTGGTGGTGGTGGTGGTGGTGGTGGTGGTGATAATCGCGGAAGAAAAGAGGCGAAAAGAAACGCCGGGGATGCCGCAAGAAAATTCCCCGTGCGTTGTAGAGTGAATGAAATCGAAATGTCCAGGCGAAGAGCGTAATTCGAGGGGGGAGGGGGGTGACGACAACGAGAGGGGGTTGTGAGGACGGGCGAAGGAATCGCGAGTGAGAAAGATTCACCCAAGCGAGAGTGATATATTTGAAAGTAAGAATACGCGCGCGGAACAGTGGGGTGGGAAGGGGGATGATATTTAGAAAAATCATAGAGAGAGAGAGAGGGGGGAAGGGGGGGGGAGTAATATGCGAAAAATCGGAAAATGGTTCGTGCGAAAACAGGCGCGCAACGTCTCTTTGTTTTCTCCCAGATGCGTAGCGCGAATATCTCGTCGAGTGCGGTGTGAATATTTTTCGTTCAGTAAGAGAAAAATTGAAATAAAAACATAGACAAGGCTACCGGCGGCTTGTGAAAGCCGTGGAGTTCGCGAGTATCTCCGAGGAGAGGTCAAAGCGGGGAGAAAAATAGAGAGAGAGAGAGAGAGTGCACCCCGAAAATCCACCCGCTTTCTTCTCGCGCGGCAAGAGGAAGACGCGAACTCTATGTTCATATGACGAGCACACATCCGCGAGTAGTAGTAATGATCGGAGAAGATAAATGTGTCAAAGAGGACGAAGAGAAAAAAAAGAGAATCGCGGCTTCTCGATTTCTCGAATGAATTATAAATATTACAAATTGTCGATGTCGCTGTAGAATAATACACACATGCGACAAAAGAGGGTGAAAGAATACGATGCCGAGTACGGACGAGAAATTCCTGTTTTTCTTCTCGCTTTATTATTAAACGCCACTATGAAATGTCGGGAATGCCCGAGACATTCCCGTTTTTTTCCCCCTTTCTTTTGCGCTCCCTCGGGACAATGCGAAATTAGAAGGAGGGGGGAAAAATGACGCGAGGAACTCATTGGGAAAATCGTTGGCATTATTTTGGTCCGACGCGCGCGCGTGCTTTATATACTTTCCTCTGAACGCCTTATTGTGTCCACGCACGCACGCGTGGGTGCGTACTTCGCGAGCCCGGAGCATGTACACACACACACACACACATCCCGATAATATTTCACGCAAATAGCCGTATTGCAAAGTAATACTTTACTTAGTAATACAAGTAATACAGCTGGGGGCATTCGCGCCCTCCTCCGTCCGTTCGCGATTTTTCTTCCTTTCTTTTTCGGTATTCTTTTCCCCCGTCCGGGCGTCCTCCCTATTTTCATCAGTCCGAAAATGGCACGAGACGTACGTTTATTTCCAACCTGACACTCGGAACTGATAGAAAGGTTTCGCTGGCTGTTCGTCATGCAGAAATCCGTGACAGTCACTTTCGTCAGCTATTTCGACTCGGGTCGCGAGAATTTTCACGTGGTGGAAATGTCGTACCTCTCTCCCGTCGAGAGATTTATATATACGTAGGCAGGCGCCAAATTTATTCAAATTTCGCCATTATCGCGAGCCTAACGACGCGGGGAGAGGGGGGTAGGCTGAATTAATCGCGGTAATCTTCCGCGCGGTGACTATATTCTAGATTTGAGGTATATACCGTATTCTACGGAAAGTGCTTTACATAAAGGGGGTATCAGCAGCGTACCGGTGTAGTCTACATCCAACAACGCTATTTACGCGAAGAGAGCACAGGTTCATCCCGCAGACAAACGGGATAAATACGAGATGTACTTCGCGAAATAGGAATCTCGCTGGGTAATCTGAGATACGAGAGAAAGGGAGAGAGAATGGGTGGAAATTTGAATGGGTCTAATATTTTGACGAGCTGTTGCGCGAGCGCGGACGAGCGATGATTTACGCTTAACTATTCCATTGTGCTGAATTTTGCGCACACGCATCGGCGACTTCGGCGTGTAGCAGCCGAGGGAAACTTCCAAAAATACACGCTTTCGTTCGGGCGTTTCGCGCACGTCGATATATAAACGCCATCAGTAATTCATGGCTCGTAAGCGCGTCGTCGCGAGCGCTGCGCCACGATAAAGGGAAGGAAAGCGAGCGAATTTATTAGAAATTTCCGTACGGTAATGACGAAGAAATTCCTCGGGAGTGCTCTCTCTTTAATGCCGAGTCGAGTAATGAAACATTCTTCGGGACCAGGAAATCAATAGGCGCGTACCTCTACTTTTATCCTCTCTTCTTATCCCCCCCTCCCTATCTCCCTCTTCGAAAACAAAAATATCGAATCGCTCTTTCATTCCCGCGCCTGTCTTCCCTCTCTGATTTGCCGCGTTCTAATGCTTTCAAATATTATCCCTTCGACGATAGCGTCGATCAAAGATAGACGTCTCTCCTCGTCGATCAGAGCTCGTCCGACCGAAAAAAAAAAACAAAACGAGAATCGTTGTAGCTCCGCTATTTTCTCTCGTTTTCTCTTCGTCTTCCGGAAAACAACTGTGTGATGACGCAAGATAAAGACGTCAGATAGAGTGTGCATTCGAGGTAGTAGCGCGAATTTCAAAGTGTCGCCGAAGTGTGACGAGTATGTCAAGAGTACGATCGAAGCGTGTTCCCTCCTTTCAGTTTTTTCGGCTTTTCCCCCGAGTTCGGCGCGCTCCGTTGCGCAGAGTATTGCTCGTAGCGCCGAGAGGAATCCAGGAACTCATAAGTAACACCCCGCGAAGAGACATGCAGTTATCCCCGACAAAGGACGCGAGCAGGAGCTGATCCTCTCGGTCATTTTCATGGAAGGGGAATAAAAAAAAATCGGCGGCCGTGCGACGGATGGGAGCATGATTCTGGTAGCGCGGCGAATCCGGCGAATTCGACGGAAAACCAGAAGAAGAGCGACGAGACGGTAGTACGGGACGGGTGATATGGATGCCCGCGAGGACGGCGGGCTCGGTCGAACGAGAGAGGCCCGAATCTGTTGACTTAACGACCCACCAATTCCGTCGTACTTCCGTTGTGCTCGAAAGTGCGAGAGAGAGGGAGAAGGAGGGAGTTTCCGCGTGGCACGCAAGGAAAATGACCGCGAATCGCTGACGTCATCCACGGAATGTGAATGTTCCTAACGTCGCGTCGTCGCCAGGTCGTTTCCAGTCGCATAGATCGCCGATATTTTCCTGTGGCATGTACGTGACCCCAACGACGTGGAAGGAAATTCGCGGCAGTAGAGCCTCGAGAAGATCCTGCGACGGTGGTGACGGCGACGACGACGGTGCTGGTGGCAACGGCGACGACGACGGTGGTGGTGGTGGTGACGACGGTGGTGGTGGTGGCGGTGGTGGTGGTAGTACAACCTTGTGCCCTTGGTACCGCGGTACCGTGCCCTGAGGAACGGGGTGTATGTGCGCGTGGGCGTTTGGAAAAACACACGGGGGGAACTCAAAAGGGCCTCACCGAAGGCGGTGCGGTGCCTGGTCTGCCGAATCCCCTCGGTTGTCCGCCTCCTGCGCGAGACCCGGCTCGTGCAAGGCCAACTGCGCGAATCGGTATCGAACGATACCGTCGATGGATGAGACAATCGGCCGGAGCAACGTGAGAAATAGCGAAAGGTACGGTTCGAATCGAGAGAGAGAGTTTGACCTTTTGCGCTCCGAGGTGAAACTCTACTGAAAGAGTGCTGCGGATACGGCGCCTTTGGGATTTCAAATTCAATGTACACCGCTAATTTCAAGAGCGATTTGAAACGCCCGGAATGCGTTTTCGCGGTTTCAGGAGAAATTTTGGAAATTTCGGGGACGCAAAGGGGTTAATGGGAAACGCTTGTTAAAACGTTAACGTTTGTGGAACGGCCGGGGGAAGTTGCACTCGCAAAATTGAATCTGCGGGACCTCCTTTGAAATTTACCGCGCGGCGAATAAATGGACGAATAATGTGTATCGTGTCGAATCTTTACCACACCGAAAACTCGTCGATAAATTCGGTATTACCTCCGTGTACCTAGGTATCTAAGAACAAAGATTCTTTTGTATGCGCAGCATAAATTATCACTATCATAAAATAAAAGGAGATATGTATGGATATATCTAATATTCGATAACGGCTGTACGTAATTGGATCACCTGTTTCGCGAAAGATTTCAATTTTCTAGGATAGAAGCTTCTTCCGTAGAAAAGCAAAAAGTAAAAGGATATCCTATCATGTCCCCTGTCTTGCAGCAAGTTCCCAAGATTTTTCTTTGAATTGTGTTCTCGATCATTTTTATCCATTTTAATCGTGCAATAAGCTCATGTTTTCGGATATATATTAATTGCTCCTCGATCTTTAAAATAAATCTTTTGATCTTTCATTGAAAACCGAAGTGATGATGGTTTTCGTGCATGTTGTACGCGACATTTTCTTACAGTTAATCCGCCCGCACAGCGAAAAGTTCGTAGGATTAATATTTATCATTTATAAATATAAAACGTATATAAAACGTGTTGCTTATTTTTACGATATTCCTTCGCGAGTAAATAATTTTTTACGCTTTTTCAAATACGTGGATATCGAGCTGCTTTCGAAACTTATCGGAACTGGATTATTGGAATATTTATCGCAGTACCAAAGAATGTATCGGCTGAAAAAGCTTAATATAAATATATCTGCGCGAACACATGGATACACACTCGTGGGATATTGCACGATGAATTGGTGTACCCTTAATTTTGTTATCTACGTCAGGATGATTGACACGTACCCCGTCTGCTTTATCGAACTCTCCCACATTGCCCGAGACCCTTATACTTTTTTTTTTAATGGAACGTTTAGTTGCTCCAATAAATTTCAAACGCGCCAACGGTAATTAACGACGTTCGATCTTTTAACGAGATCCTCCGCGGTTTCGACGTAATTTGTGTCTCCATCGCGCGTCAAGAAACGGTATGATTATCCTTTGGAATGACAGACGATGGTTATACGACCACCCTCTCAGCACCTTCTCCCGTCACCCTGAACGACCTTGTTTCCATTCGTAGGTCTTATTAACAAGAGTGATGCGTGAAACGTGTCCGAGAAAATGGGTTAGGCGGAGGCTGGCGGATTTGCGAGAAGATCAGTATAAAGTATGCACGAATGGTGCAAGCCGATCTCGTGGAGTTTACCGAACAAAAGACGAAGGAAAAAGTCAACGCGAAAGCGAGACGAGAAATGGATAGTCGCACGCATAATGCATGAACGTGCACATCTCTGAATTACTGTTGTCGGTATAAATCGGGCATTTTGTATATGCGAGTACTCTGCTAGTACTTATATCTAGGAATAATATTCAGATATTCGGGTATTATCCTATACTACTCGAAAAGCCCGAGTAGTATCTTCCCGTTATCGGTCTTCACATCAGCTAATTTAGCTTTTGCTTGGATATCAAGAAAGCAAAAATCAAAAGTAATACCCGAGTGATAGTCACTTGTTTAGCTGATTTTCCCTTTCGCTTTTCTAAGTGCACTATCACGATATTCGGATAATTTTTATCACAATTTGATGTATCCAAAAGACTGGGGCAATATTCGAATATCGCGACGTTACTACTCCGAGTGGTAAAAATTAATCTCATCATAGCGATTGCATTGTACTCAAATGTAACCATATCGATTGAGTCAATCTCTCAGCGAGAATCGCTGACACCGTAATAAAGAATAAGAGGATATCAAATATCAACCGGGATTCTGATCTGAGATTTCATTCTCCCATTCTGGCGCACCAACAATCGTCACCTCGCAATTATTTCCCCTAAACGGAAAGTCGACAGGAACATCTTAATTTTATACACGTGTAATCTCAACCGACAGAACGCATAGACAAGCGGCAAAATTTGCGAGTCGCATGCTGCTATTTTTCTACGACGCGCCAATCGATCGTATCTCCCGGGGCGGGGAATACCCGCGAAATTGAAATGGCCGCGAGGGCTCGAAGGGAGAGGGTGAGGAATGCAATTTCTGCCGCGACATGAAAATTTTCGATGCCATTTCTGCCGTGCCATATCATTCGAGGTTACTGAGCCGTCCGTCGCGCTTATCTCTGAATCTTAGAACACACATTCTACGCCGTGTTGAAAATAGCGCGAAAGTGAAAAAGCCCGGGCAAAACGGGAGTTCTTCCCGGTCGCGTCTTCCTAGCATAACCGTGTTCCTGAACTAGAACTTTGTATTTACTCGGATAACCGCTTAACAATAACAACTGTAATTTAGACAACAGCGTATGTGTAACTTCGCTTGAACTTCCGTGCAACAACATATGACGTCTATGCGCATATAGTCACGGCCAATTACTAATTTACGACAGTTCCATCAGTATTTCGCTGTGCTCAGAAGCGTCAGCTTATAAATACATAATTATCTTGCACTGAAATTATCGAATGATGCGTATTCGCGTTTAAAATAGAATTCCAAAATACTCTCATCACATTGAGAGAGAAGAATTGTTAATTTAATTTACAAATTATAGTTACTTTCGGCACTAACTATATCTTACGATGTTCCCTAATAAAAGAAAAAAAAAAAGTAATTGTAAGAATATATTTATAAAGTTATATTGTGCCGATATAACGCTATGGTTAGCAGTTGACTACGAAAACGGGACTCCTGGTTGTGATCGTTTTTACAAATTACAGTTGTAAATACCCAACATTCTTCTCTCGGTGTAAAGAAATTTTTAGAGTCAGCAACGAATATACGTTTCACGACAGACACACTCTTTTTCTCTTTCCTGCCTGCAACTTTCAATCTATCTGTATTCCCCGTCTCCCTACGAAAGAAGCTCCGAGCTCTAACCTACTAACAGGATGCAAGCCGAGCGTATCGTGAATGGCCATTTTATCTTTACAGTAAAAAGTTGATTTTAACTTCATAAGCGAGCGAGAAATTGTCATTAGGGTTTAACGCTCCAGACAGCAGTGAAATAAACTTTTGTTGCTGGTCGTGGAAAAAACCTTTTTACGTGTTCATCATCGGTATTGGCTAAGCGTCGAACTTAAAGTCGTAACTTACTTTATGTTCACTAAATAGGTAGAACCTTAGATAAGAAGAAAATTCCTTCTTAATTAAAGAATCGTTCTTTTTTGTCCGTCGCCTACAGCGGAGTTTCCTATGGTTGAACGTTTTTTTTTTCCTACATTCCGTATTGTCGCAATCTCGTGTGATAAATAAATTTATGAAAATAATTGCAAACCGTGGGCGATAACGACTTCACGATATTGTTCCGTTCTTGCACGAATATTGCGATCGTTAATCTGTGAACACGCGTACAGTCGTGGACAGACAGGAAGATTGTGAAACTTTTTTGGACAAGTTTCGGAACGCATCCTGTATCCAATAGGAGAATGTTTTTCTTAATTATTCTCCAAAGATACGTTTCCCTATTGGACATGAGATGCGTTGTAAAACTCATAAAAAAAAAAGTGTCACAACTTTTCTGCCCATGACTGTACAGCTGCACTTATTTGTGTGCGCATGTGTGTGAGTGCGTTGACGGAAAATCGTATGTGTCTCCAGTGCGTACATAGTTTGGTCGCTGAACGATGACCGACGACTGGCCGTTGTCGCAGTGGAGATGACTACCAGGTTAGTGGCTCGTCCCGAAGACGACGACGACGACGACGAGGTCCACGAGGAACGAGACTCGGGCTATCACTGCCACTGATAGAGACCCGGCACCCCGTCGCAGCTCACATCGATGCCGACCGCCACATCCACGATACAAGGTATGACGTCATTGGACACGATCGTAAATTTCCCGCATAGCGTTATCTCATTGCTCTTTATTTCGCTGGGAGACACCGATCGCAGGCGAAAACCCTTTGCATTGTCTTCCGTCAACTTGAAAATCGCGATTTTCTTTCCGCCTGTATAGATCAGCCGTATGACTGGGGCGATATAGTAGTTTTCTCAATCCTTGTCGTATATTGACCGCGTTTGCGGAAACATTCGCGGCTCGCCTCAAACCTGCCAGCCACGAAGGAGATAAATCGTCGAATTGTTAGCGGAATACGTTTGGAGGACGTTGGATGGAAAGGGGTTCGAGCCGGTATTTAGGACTCATTGTTCCTCTAGTGGTTGTCACTCGATAAGTGTGCGGCTTCGCCTTTATTCACCTTCTTCTTACTACAGGCAGGTACTTCGGTGTTCCTTAACGGCGTTCCGATGCGATCTCTCCTTGAACTCTGATATTTACTTCTTCTTTTTGTCGATGCTGTTTGCGCCGATATGGATGTAAATTGATGACGATTCTGTGTAATACGCGCGGAGAACTCATGGGGCGATCGCAAAATAATTCTGCTATTCGGCTTGCCTCCGGGTAACATTTGCCAAGTTGAGTGTCCGGGTAGTATCGGTCGAGTATAAACTGCGACGGTTCAGGTAGGCAGATACACGAATACTACAAAATAATTGTGAGATAAATCCTTCATTGTTTTTGGTATGCAAAATCATCGCTTAATGGATGGTACGTATCGAAACTCCCGTTGATATTCGTCACACGTTACGCGTCACGACGTGAGGTGTGCATTCCTGTCGCATTCTTGGAACATTTTCGCGACAGCCGGTGCAGATCGCGTAACACTTTACGCGAACGTGCCGATATGCCTTAACGATCCGAGGAATTCGCGGGTGGTGCAAACGTGTCCCTCATACGGCATCGAAATTCCATTGTAAGCGCCTACACGAATAATGATTTCTTCGCGTCTCCCGCGGGCAGGAGACATCTACGTTCCGTTTGCCCCCCAAACCTCCGGTATCGATCGGCGAATAAAACCGGTTGAAGCCTCTACGTGCCCGCGAGAGAGGTAACCTGTGGAATTGACAGAGTGAGAAACTACTTTCGGATCTTTCAAGTTTAGCACGTGGGGAGATTCGCGAATCCGACGCCAAGCCAGCGCAAGCTTGCCCGCGAATATTCCGTTGTATGCAAATCGCCCCCGCATGGCAAATGGACGGGTCTCGCATGCGAATTACCGAAAAAACGATTTCTATTACGCATCACGCACGGATACCAAGGCCTTAAAATTTTTAATATTTGCTCTCTCACACACATACGCACACGTAGATACGGGCTATCGAAATCAAGCGAGCAAGGGTCTCTTCGGGATGTATTGACATATGAAGGACGTTGCGCCAACACGTTTCGCCAACGTATCTTATATTTTTGCGCAATTGCAATTTTGTTCCTAATCTTATCACGATCCTTGCTAGAATAAATTGAGGAAAGAAAAAGGTGTCTTCTAATTTCTATATAACTGTATAAGTTGTATTCATACCGGGAAGATTGTGTTCACGAAGGGAACGTTAAAACAGGGATCGAATATTGCTGACAACATATCAATCCTTTTACACGTGTTCTTATACCCCCGTGGCGTGGAGGTGAACGTGTAAATGTTGCTTGTACACCGCGTTTTTTATCTATAAATAAAATTACTGGACGTTAAACCAATTATAGGTAACGGCAGCGTTTTTCTGCAACACACGTTGAATCAGAAGCGAGGTCGGGTGTCAACTGCGCGTTTTATCCCCCGCATGCCCCGACGAATCCGATAAGTTTTTCTACAGCGCGAGGGAAAAAAAATGGAACGCCACGGAACTCTCTCTTTCTCTTGTTATATCTGCTGCTTAGGTTATAGTCTGGAATTTTCTAGTCTCCGCCGAGGTCATGTTTACTCTATTTATCGATCGCGGAATATCGCAAATAGAGTATGCAATCTACTTATGAAATCTCACGAAGTTATGGTGAAACACAGGTTGAACTTATTTAATTATCCGCTTTAACAGAGAGAGGGAGAGAGAGAAACGCGGTAAGACGATATTATTGAGATAATTAAAAACGTCGTTTAGACAGTTGTAATAAAGGAAACCTGTCGAGAGCGCAACTACGTCATTGCAATTCCAACCCCGGCTCCTGGTATCGACTGCGGTGAAATTCGAAAGCGGAATAATGTTATCGGGATCGAATATTGAAATCGCTTCTCGATAATTTCTCATGAACGCATTCATGAGTTTTCTTTCGTCACGTTCATCGATCACATCAGCCGAGGCAGTCAGCTGTCTGCGAAATTAACAGCGGAGCCGGCACTTAGATAAAAAGGCTCACATATATAGGTCAAAGCCGGGAAATTTTGCAGGATATTGGAACAGCAAGAAGTTCGCTCGCGGTCTGTCTATCAAAATTATGTTTGGAACTCGACGTGTCAATTAGAGGAACTCTCTTAAAATCGCAAACTTTTCCCCTCGAGCCCGGCGTCACGATTTATTTTTATATATTTGAACATTTTCACTCCGAAATTTTCGTCAGAGTTGCGATCGCGGAGTGTTCACTCGTCTCGCGAACGTTTACGAAATTTTGCCAATAATCCCCTCGTCCGTTCCTCGCATTTTTCCCGTCTGCGAGCATTACCGCTTGATTTTTCCACTGACTGACTGATCTCCCCTGCAACCAGAGAAACGCACTCGAGTGTTTCTTTTCATCCGTTTGCATGATTGATTGACTGTACCACGAGATAAGCACTCTTTTTCGGTATTGCGTCTCTGTTATATATTTTTTTTTTCCCCTACGAAACACATCACGTTCAGCCGCACACTGTGTTGTGATTGTGTCATCGTTCTCGTCAGCATATATATATATATATATATATANGTATTTGTCTTGCGTCGTCGCCACCACTAAAGCGACAACCGTGGTATTTTCGTACAGTTATAATCCGAAATTGTAACCGCGGGTCCATGAACTGTATATCCGTGTTTTGCGTTCCGAGGATTAGTGTTTAATATGTTAATCTAGTATTATCATATTCCACTCTCATACACACACACACATACGTACACATACACAAACCAACTCTATCTATCAGTGTTTTACGATATCGACGTTCCGAACACGAGCGCACGATAAATTTGCATAAACACGGAAATTCTGTTGTAAAATAGAACTCCCAAGACAGCAGGTTTAGCGCGATAAGGCCGATTGTGCTTGAAATACAACGTGAAAGTTCAATCCCCGAACGTGTGTTCGAAAGATTGCGAAATAAAAAAATTCTCCTTTCGGTGCGAGAAGCTGTGCTCGGCTTTGTCAGTGGACGAAAAACCGAGTTAGGTGATCTTCTAGAGGAAGTAAAGTAAGAGGCTTCAGGTGCATCGGATCGTTAAAAAGAAACCTCGAAAAACCTCCCTCGCCGACGGGCACGCGGCAGCGAGAGATCGGCGAGGCGTGAAATTTGTCGATAATAGACCGAGGTACTCTTCCTCTCCTTCTGCACATGAAGTCGCCGAACGGATATCCCTGTTTGAATGCAGGAAAATAAGAAAGAAAAAGAAAAGAAGGACGGAAAATGAAGTGAAAAGCAACCGGTGAAGTAAAAAAGAGAATTAAAAAAAAGGCGTCGCAATCCACAACGTGTGCATCATTTCGATTCGAATCTCCGCTTGTTGCAAATTGATTTTCAATGGCCACCCTTGAATGTTTCGAATATCCATTCGACATCCCTCGTTATCTCGATGTGGAGCCTGTTTTAATTATCAGCACTCCCTCTTCGTTGGAAATTCGTTTAGCCAATCGCGAAGTTATTTAAAGTTGCCAAACTTCGCGGCTTAATTATCACGTTATAACTTTCAATTAATAATCCTCACGGAGAAGCTCCGAAACCCCTTGTACGCATAAAATACTTCCACGCCGAGACAGGGATGTGAAGAAATGTAACATAAATTTACGGGAGGATGTCACTTCAGTTTCGTGACGTTTTAGTGTTTCGGTTATATTATAGTTTCGCATTGAATCCTTTACAACAGCCCGCTCTTCTCTCTGTCAGTTCCCATATTATAGAAGATAATAGCATCCGTAATTTCGAGGCGGAAAGCTATCCGTGTTTTTCCCCTCTGAAAAGAGGAAGTTTAAAAACGATCATTAAATCGTACGTGCCAAAGTTATCGGAATCGCGAGGGAATTTATCGCCACGAATCGATGTTGGGTCGCGACTCGCGGAACTTCAGGAAACGAGATTTCGATTGTTTGTCGACTGCATGTTGCAACAGTCACAATTAAGGTTTACGACAGGGCTCGCTCCATCATCGTCGTTCGTTTTATTGACGTCGCAATATTGGGAATATTGATCGAATTTAATGCAACGTTGCGGCAATCTATTAATCACGTTAACTTTATAGCGTAGGACGGGTATTTGTATGTAACCGCAGGCCTCTTATTTATAAAAAGTAAATGTAGATATTCTCCCGCACAGCTGTTTTCAAAATTACATATCACTCGTGTCCTAATTGGAACATGCCGGAAAGTATTGGAACGAAAAAGCGCGAAAATCACACATTCGCTTTTCTAAGCAAGTTGAGAATTACTGAGGCTTTTAAGTCAGCCGGGCTTTATTTATTATCAGCGCTGGGTGTGCACATGCACGATACATATAGCTAGCGCTTGCTGCGAATCGGAACGGCTATAACAACAACGATCGGATTTACGTTGAGTTTTCGAAGGTTACGATAATGTAACGGATAGCGGAGGCGTTTAGCTGGATATTTTTCTAAGATCGTCCGGCGGTGAGTCGAAATTCGAATTTATTTCGTGCTGCCGGAATATGTGTGTGTGTGTGTGTGTGTGTGTCGAGAGTTAAAACAGAAACACGCATCAGCTGTCGAAGCAAAATGTTATGGACGTGTTAGCCGATATTATTTTTAGCGATACTCTCTCTAGTTGGACATTTCAACGGCGTTT